AGTAGAGTGCTTTAGATATCACACAAGCCTTCAGTATGTGCTTACTCTCCAGCAAGCTGTGGGATCATTAATGGGGTTAAATTTCTATACCCCATATCGTGGTTCAGCAGGAACATACAGTAACTCCTCACTTAAAGTCGTCCCGGTTAACGTTGTTTCGTTGTTACGTTGCTGATCAATTAGGGAACATGCTCATTTAAAGTTGCACAAAGTTCCCTTTCTAACCTCGTTTGGCAGCTGCCTGCTTTGTCCACTGCTTGCAGGAAGAGCAGCCCGTTGGAGCTAGCTGGTGGGGGCTTGGAACCAGGGGTGGACCGGCAGCCCCCCATCAGCTCCTCGCTCCCCTAAGTTCCCTGTGCAGCAGCTGCCCAGCAGGCTACCAATTGCCAGCAGGTCAGCTGTCCCTCCCCCCACTGCCATGTGCTGCTCCTGCCCCTCTGGCTTGGAGCTGCTCCCTGAGACTCCTGCTTGCTGTGCGGGGTGTGTGTGCTAATGTCAGGTGTCCCCCTCCCCCCTGCTTCTGCCCCCCACTTACCCCTTCTCCATATAGATCAGGGAGGGGACCCAGATGGAGAGAGACAGAGAGAGCCTGGGGAGCAGCTGCTGCCAACTTCCTGATCCACTTAAAAAGACAATGGACTTAAGAGTGGGTCATCTTACTTAAAGGGACAGTGTGCATCTCTCTCTCCCACACACAAGGTGTGTGTCTGTCTCTGTCTGCTATGCTGTCTCCCCTCCCTCGTGTTCGTGCTGCCTTGTGGGAGAAGCTACATTAATAACAATGTGTTAACCCAGTGGTTCTCAAACTTCTGTACTGGTGACCCCTTTCCCATAGCAAGCCTCTGAGTGCAACCCCCCTTATCAATTAAAAACACTTTTAAATATATTTAACACCATTATAAATGCTGGAGGCAAAGCGGGGTTTGGGGTGGAGGCTGACAGCTCGTGACCCCCCATGTAATAACCTCATGACCTCCTGAGGGGTCCCGACCCCCAGTTTGAGAACCCCTGTGTTAACTCTTGAGGGCTCAGCGAGTGCTAGTTCATCATTTAGCACTAAGGCATTCCCTGGGATATATCCCACCCTCTGACTCCTCCACCTCATTCGCTTAACATCGTTTAGCTTAAAGTCGCATTTTTCAGGAACATAACTACAACGTTAAGCGAGGAGTTACTGTACTGTGAACAGCTGCAAATGGGCTGAGACTACACAAACAAATCAAATCAAAATCATTTGGATTTTCAATGCTGAGTGCTACAAGTGGCAGGTAAATTGCTAGCAAGGGCATGCAAATATAAAGCCAGAATGCTCTACTGGTATTTCCTGCCTTCATTACCTGTGATTCAGCTGAGGTCCTCTAGGCCAGTGATTTTCAAACTATTTTCCTGGTGACCCAGTTGAAGAAAATTGTTGATGCTCGTGACCCAACGGGGCTGGGGATGAGGGGTTTGGGTGTGGGAGGGGCTCAGGGCTGAGGTAGAGGGTTGGGATGCAGGCGTGAGGGCTGTGGGGTAGGACCAGGAATGAGGGGTTCAGGGTGTGGGAGGGGGCTGTCGATTGGGGCAGGGGGTTGGGGTGCGGGAGGGGGTCAGGGCTCTGGGCTGAGGGTGCAGGCTCTGGGGTGGGGCCGGGGATGAGAGGTTTGGGGTGCAGGAAGGGGCTCCGGGTTTGAGGGGGGGCTCAGGGCTAGGGAAGGTGCTTACCTCGGGCGGCTCCTGGTCAGTGGCGCAGCGGGGGTGCAGAGACAGGCTTCCTGCCTGTCCTAGCCCTGTGGACCCCGTTGCGCCCCAGAAGCGGCCAGCAGCAGGTCTGGCTCCAAGGCAGAGGCACGCAAACAGCTCTTGCCCGGCAGGCACCGCCCCCCAGCTCCCATTGGCTGGGGGGGCGATGCCTGCGGGCGAGAGCTGGCCGCTGGCCGCTTCCGGGGCGCAGCGCGGTATCAGAACAGGTAGGGACTAGCCTGCCTTAGCCGGGCAGCACCGCCGACGGGACTTTTAAAGGCCTAGTCGGCGGGGCTGGCCAGAGAC